TTTTAGTAAATATGTATTTGTGTAAGTAACAACAAAATTCTTATTTATATAAGAGAATCATACCAGATTTCCTATGTAGGATATAGTTGCTACTAAATTTGTGATTATATGAGCATAGAATGTTCTATTTACTGTCTTCTATATACATAGAATATTTGAAATTAGTTAATAACACACATTAAAATTTTTATTTAACAATCAGTGAGCATCCTAATTATAATGTATTTTACATATGAAAATAACTCAAGATAATGATATTTTTTTTGGCTGATTTTAACAGGGATGTAGGTAATGGCCCCCAGTTGTATGTTGTATGCCTGCAATGAATGACTCCATGTTCAGACATTGTTTAGAAATGAGCTTTGAAATAAAGGGGAGTAAAGTGCCTCTCGTTCAGACCATTGGAATAAAATATATCACACTATTGCCTAGGCATGCCTACTTAAAATGGAATCAATTTGTTTGTTAAGGCAACAACAAAAGATTTCTCTCAGCATGTGCCACTTTTGTTGGGAAGGCCTGTGCACAGGGTGGGCTAGTTAGGTCTTGGCAACCCAGAGGAAAGGTGCCTAGTATATCATTATATTTCATGGGGTTTTTTTTGAAGAGAATGAATATGATCAGTCATCTTGCATAGGGTTTGAAAAAGGCTTGTCTCACTGGCAAGCAAACTGTTATTTAAGTACACAATCCACTCTACTACTGAAACAGTTTTGCCAAACTTATCCAAGTATTCTCACATGCTTAAAGATGGTATAAATATCATTTATGGCTAGCAGTTTTCTTCAGACTATATGGAATGTCTTCCTGCTGCCTGATCTAAGTGTCCCAGTTTACATTATGGCCTTTACTGCCTCTGTTTGATGGAGTGATCAGTAAAAATTTAATGACACTATAAAATAATAAAAATGTCATTAATTTACCACGGATCTTGGATGCAGTGGTTGTAAAGTTACATTAATAAACAGAATATTTTTTACAACAAAAAGCATTGTTACGTGGGAACGTATAAATAACGCACATAAATTTAAGAGCAATTTTACTGTTAGCACACACATTATTATGGAATAGCCAATAAGTGTATAAAACATAGTATATAAAATTTTATTAAAATATACTGTGCACATCAAAAATTCAGCTTTTATCTAAGTGCAAAGAAAAGCCATTATTGTGTGCTTACTGTTTCATTGCTCTTTCCCAAGATCACAATTTTACATTTGTTGCCAGCAAGAGGAAGTTGATTTTTTTTCCCTAGATAAAAACAAACCTCTGGTCTTTTAGTTACTCCAAATTCATATTCTCTCTTTCTCTGTCTCTCTGTCTCTCTCTCTCTCTGCCTCTCTCACTCTCTCTTTTCCTCTCCCTCCCTCCCTCCCCCCCCCTCTCTCTCTCCACTGATGCAAAGATGTAATTGATCAGTCTTGCCAGGGATGAAAAGGAAAAGTTGCTAATTTAATGCAAAGTTAAAAATAATGCTGGAGGAGTTGAATGGTTTGTTCAGTGACTCTGGAAATAAGGGATAATAATGCAGCAGTCTATCTGTCATCAGTGAGGCTGCCCGTCATTGACTGTGATAATATGTGAAGATGATGGATGCTACCATCTTGTGGCTTGTAACATTTAACATTCATCAGCTCTCACTAAAGGGGGCTTTATCATTTAAATATCTTTATTTAATATGCAACATCTACCTCATACATCATAATTTCAAAGCACTTAGAGAGCCCACCATCCTACAACACAGCAGAGCTGACTTTAATTTTTTTTCAATAACTTTTATGTTGCCTGTATGTTTGTGACTGACAGTGCACAGTAAGTATCTGGTCCCATTGCTGCATGGAAAACACACATTCCTCTGTCAACATAAGAAAAGGTATTTTCCAGGGTGGTAGGATTAAACTAGCAGTAAGGTGTTTTACTCATATAATCTATAAAATATTCTACCTGAATTGTGAAGGGCTAGTTCAAGTTTGGAACTTAAGGGCTTGCCACATACTGTCTGTATTTGCTGCACACTGGGGCATACCTCTTGGCATTTTATGGCCAGGAGTTTATATATTTTCATTCTTCTTTGTGCTTATGTCCACATTCTGTAGTTCCTTGGGTCATGTTCAATCTCACTGTAAAATCTTTGCTTAACTCAGCTGCCCAGACCTAACCTGTAGACATCAGTCTCTTATCTTATGTGGCTGACAAATAAATATTCCGAACTATTCTTTGAAGGAAAGAAGGAAATCTTCTGGGAGACTAGGTAGAAATTTATATGAAAGGGCATGGCTTTGCCGGGTCCCTCTTTAATCTCAAACACAGTGCTTAATATTCTCAAATATAAGATGCAACCTACTGCCCCAAACAATTTTTATCATTGATTTATTTTCTGCCTACTTAACAAGTATTTCATGAGATATTCTTCCTTGTCTTCGATTCTATCAAAATATTGATATTTTATAGGGAAAGTATCTTTGCCGAGGATTTTTTTTCAATGAAGTAAAAAAAAATGTATGACTTCAAAGACATGAATGTGCTGTTGAATGCTCTGAGTGGTTTTTGTTATGATTAAAAACAAGCTGATACTCCTGAATTGTGAGTGCACTTCATTTTTATAAGGGAAAAGATATTATCATCTTGTAAGCTTTGTTGTCTTAGGATTTTTACAAACCATGGCATCTAATTTTCCCTCTTCTATTTCCTTGTCAAAATATTGATATCCTTTCAGGAACTTTATTCATTTATTTATTTATTTTTATTTTTACTGAGAATATTTTTTCCAGTAAAATCAAAGAGAATGAATGACTAGAAAGATACTTGAAATCTGCATATTGATAGATGGCATAGTCTGTTGATTTTCACAGAAAGTTACCTCCCCCCACCATGAAAATACAGTTGAAGGTTGTTCTTGTAAGAGGATTGCAGGTGTCATATCAGAACTCCCTTTTGCATTTAACGCAGGGAAGGCATTCACATGCAAATATTTGAAATGGGAAACAATGTAATAAAAACAAAGGTTGAATATGTTGCTTTCCCCGCTACTACTCATCTTCACTTTAATTCCTTTTCTTTACATCGTGACAACCCAAAGTGCTACTCACAGATAGAAATTGGCTGATTAAAAGCAGCTGTCCTTTCCCTGACAATGTGTGAAACTCCCACGAGGCTTGTGGTTGCTTTTTTGTGTGTCCTGCATCTGGGTTAATTTGTTCTTGTACGGCAGTGTTTTCATAGAAGAAGATATTAGGGAGCCATACTTAATTTGGTTTTTATTTTCAGCCTGTCTTTTATAAGTGTCGTATTTCAGAGGTTTCCCAACATATTGCTACTGAAACGAGTTAGTATTACCCAGTTAGAGAAATTCATGGTTATAATTTTTGTGGCAGATCTTTCATAGAAATGGTGCGAGATTAAAGCGAGGTTTATACTGCATTTTCCTCCAATGCAGACTTCAACATATTCCAGGATGAAGGGAAACTGGAGGACTTCCTGCCCAATTTGACTGAAGGGAATTAATTATAGAAATATAATGATATTCAAAGAAATAATCATATTAGAAAGCACAAATGTAGTGCGGCTGTACAAATGAGGCAGAGTCTCTATCAAGTAATTGTATGTTGCTCCTTAAGAATATTTCCAAGTTTCTAAACATCTTACAGAAGAGAACACTCAGAGTGCTTCTATCTAATGCTGAACGTGCTCAGTACAGAACTAGGTCATTGAACAATAGACTGCACAGCAATCAGCACTCCGCTGCTGCATTATGCATTAAGTATAACATGCAGAAGCCATTCCCGGAGCTGGAAGCTGCTATTTCATGTCTGTAAATTCAAGCTGACATGACATTTAATATTGTTTCATAGTAATGAACAACAAGGTTTCATTCATTCATAAGCATCACACAAAGCCAAGTTTGAGTCTGGAGAGTAACAAGCAGGCGAGAGGGGGACACGTGCTGTGTTCCTGCAGACAAGAACACCATATTAACGATGGTCAGTGAGCCCTCTGCTATGGATCCAGACAGCAGCAGAGCCCCGTTCAGCAGAGCCTCCAATGCCTGCTTCTAGAAGGTCTGGTGAGCAGGCAAACTGCTTTGGGTTTCCCTCCTAAAGCAGCAGGGTATTTTAACTTTCCTAGCTCCTGGGCTGGCTAGAAGTGATGTCCTCCTTTTCAGATTCCAGAAAGACACAGTTAAAACCAGTGGGCAAAACAGTAGCAGTGATGCTATTATCTAGTCTACTCGCTTGAAATATTATTTGTTTTTGACATCCTGGTGCATAAAATTTCAATTCGTATTTTCCCAGGAATATCAATACAAGCTCTGATCTGTAAATGTAAAATTTCCTCTCCCATAAATTTAGCAGTATATTTGAACAGGAACTACTCCTTCAGGTTTTTGCATTTTTGGTTCAACTTTCTTTATAGATTACTGGAGCAAATCCAACAGAGGAGAGGTCTGCAGAGCCACTCTGGCGGGTTCCCTCCACACATTTCCTTTCCTTACAGGTACTGTGTTCTCCATGCTGTCAGCACTGAGGAAGTGCCACATTCAGGCCTTAGCAGAATATCCCCATATGTTTTCTTCAAATGATGTCTGCAGCTAGGATCTGGTGGCTCATGCCTGTAATTCTAGCTGAGGAGGAGCCTGAGATCTGAGAATCACAATTCAAAGCCTGCCCAGGCAGAAAAGTCCACGAGAGTCCAGCAGAAAAATTCATGACACGCTTTTCTCCAATTAACTACCAAAACACTGAAACTGTTGCTGTGGCTAAAGAAGGAAGGAAGGAAGAAAGAAAGAAAGGAAAGGAGGAAGGGAGGGAGGGAGGATAAGCAAGCAAAGAAAAGAAAGAAAGAAAGAAAAGAAAGAAAGAAAGTCTGCATTAAGGTTTTAAGGAAGAAAAGGAAAGAAAGTCTGCAAATTCAGGTTTTGCCCATGAAGTAAGACAGAAACTAGAAGAAAAAAGTGGCTGCTTTGGAATTTTGATTAAGCCTCTGGTTATTCTTCCCCCTAGGAAAGAACACGCTTTGAGAATTTGGGGCCTCAGTTAACAGGAAAGTCAAGCGAAGATGGAAAGCTGGGCCCAGGAGTCATCGACCTTACTCGGCCAGAAGATGCAGAGGGTGAGTGTCTTTTCTCTAGTTCTTTTCTGCTTCTCTGTGTATTCCAAAGGGATATCTGAATTAAATGCTGGAGACCTGACTTAGATGCCAGATACCATTATGGCCTTGCTTGGGTGTCATGAACTGGGTTTTCTAGGCAAAACACAGGAATTGTTGGTACTTTTTTTTGTTTTTGTTTTTGTTTGGTCGGTCATGGGGCTTGAACTCTGAGCCTTGGTGCTGTCCCTCAGCTCTTCAGCTCAAGGCTAGTGCTCTACCACTTGAGCTACAGCACCACTTCCAGGTTTCTGGTGGTTTATTGAAGATAAGAGTATCATGGACTTACCTGCCCGGGCTGGCTTTGAACCACGATCCTCAGATCTCAGCCTCCTCAGTAGCTAGGATTATAGGTATGAGCCCCGAGCGCCAGCTAATGTTGGTACTTTTGATACTATTTTAAAGTTTAAAATAATATAACCCTCCACAGTCCAATAAACAGCAGAATTCTATTTTTTATCTACTCATTACTTTTTTATTACAAAAAAAAAAAAAAAAAGCATATCATGCAGGATTGTATTTTTTTAGTGTTGTTTAATTCTAAATCAAGTGATTGTTAGGTATAATCAAATCATTCTAAAGATTAAATGACAGTTTATAGCAGACTTGACATAATTTTTCTAGTTGATCAGGAGAGGCTCAGAACCGGTCTGGGCACTAACCACGACTGACCCCCTTCAACATCTGAGTGGAAAGAACAGCCTTGCTCTCAGGATGTTTACCTCCAGCACTGTCTATGCTTGCTCGCTCCTCTTCCTTTTTTGTTTGTTTGTCTTAAATGCACAAGCAGCACATCAGCAGAAATTGCTCCCCAGAGGGCCCGTACGATTTATGGGTTAGGTCAGCACTTTGGTAGTAACGCTGCCTGGTTATTTACTGTGTCATCACAGAGTAGGGACTGGTTTTCCCGTTAGCTGTTTCTTTGGCAGAATCCGTCCCACCAGTCAGGGAAGATTAATTTGTTCTCTTTAGAGTAATGTGATACTTCACCCATCTCAGGCCCCAGCAAACAGTCCTTTTTTAGCTTGAGGGGAAGATTCTGACTAGTATCCCTTTGATTGGCAGGACCCTTGACAAACCATAAAGACATTTCTTCATAGCAGAATGTGAACTGGGCTCTTCCAGCTCAGAAGGCCCTGGCATAAACTGTGAAGGATAGGTGGTAGCAGGCCCAGGAAACACTTGGAAGATTTCCAGAAGGCAGGTTTTTCATATCAGTGAGAAAGACTAATGTTTGATGTTTTTCTGGTGAGAAGAGGACAAAACACATTTTGATTAGTATATGCCTGTGTATGGTGTGTGTGTGTGTGTGTGTGTGTGTGTGTGTGTGTGTGTGTGTGTGTGTGTGTGTGTTTGAAAAAGAGGCAGAGACAGGCTAGAAAGAGAAAGAGAGAGAATGAAAAAGGAAGGTAATTAAGGAAGGAAAGATAGTAGAATCCCAAGCAAAGCTATAGTTGCTGTCTTCTTTGAAGAATGTGTAGCAAGAGCATGCTGGCATTTTCACAAGGCACTGGAAGTGCAGCTTTTCCATTAGCAAGGGTTATGATTCCTCTGTCTAGGGAGCCCAAATAATGGGACATTTAGAGTTAGCTGACTGCAACACAGATGTTGTGGTTGGCTTGAAAGTCTGTGATGAAGTGTTTCAAATCCGGCCTATCTCAATTTTGTTGGAAGATTGTACTATGAAATACCTAAATATTTGACCTTCTATAATACACTTTGGAGTATCTAATCCATTTGGCTATAGAATATGAGTTATAAGGGTCTAGTACTTACTTTTGATCTAGCAGATTTTTCTAAATTTGTCATTTACACTTTTTAATTTGGTTTCCCTTTTAAAGTTTAGCAAGGATTTATTTTAATATAATAAGGTTAAAGGAGAGAGGGAGGGGGAGGGGGAGAGAGAGAGAGAATTTCCTGTTCTTCATGCAGGAAATGGGAGTTTCAAACTCTAATTTGGTTTCTTAATTGTGTATTGGTTATAAATATAGTCAGTTGCCTCTCAATAATGCTGATAATCAGGTTGATGATATATATACTTGATAAATGACTATTCTGGAGTTATTAAGCATAATAAAAAGAGAAAATTAAAAAATTATAGAGAATCATATTTTAGAATGTTAAGAAATTCAGAGCTCTAGAAATTCGATTCCATACTTACGTTGTCTAGATTCCTATTTACTGTTAACTCAAGAAACATTTATCAAGCACTCATAGAAAATGAGTTAAGTATTTTTACAGGTATTTTCTCATATACTATGTGAAGATTTTTTTCCATTTAACAGGTAAGAAAATTCAGACTGAGAGTCATTAAATAACTTACTATGGACCACATAATAAGGATAGATCTGAGATTTGATGCCAGCCTCAAATTTCAGCTGCCTACTGCTCCCTTGTATATACAGAAAAATAGGTGGTACCATCTTTTTTTTTTTTTTTAACAAACTCCTTGTGACCTTCCTCAGTATGGCCCATTTCCTTTCCCCTAAATATAGCAGGTCATGCCATACAGCAGCTCTCATGTTACTCTATCACACATAGCAGCAGGGCCTGATGAGTGTAACCATAGAAGGGCTGTAGTGGCCCAAGAGCTTAAGGAGCGTGTGAAAACCTCCCTTCAGAAGCTTGCCCAGAGTTGCCATTGAGACCTCATGTGCTTTGGGGGACTGTGAGTTCATGAATGGCGTCAAGTTACCTGCTCTAATACGGAGAGCAATGCCATGCCTTTGTGAGGGCTGCTGGGATGGGGGAACAGCCTTCTGCTGACTTCAGGCTATTTCCTGGCATCTGTTCAAGTGGGAGCTGATTGCAAAGCCTGCTGGAGTTACAGTTTGTATTAAAGTCGGGTAGATAACAGGTACACATAATACTCTCTCTACTTGCATCTTCATATTTCCCTCAACAGGAAGATTAAGCAGGGACTGAAGTATCAGAAGAATGAGAACGTATATTTGCTCTTATACTAAGTTTGTGGTTGAACAAAACAGACAACATTTCTTGGAGAGAGAGAGAAAGAGAGAGAGAGAGATAAGGAAGATTAAAAAGGAAATACAAAGCTGGGTGCTAGTGGTTCATGCTTATCATCTTAGCTACTTAAGAAGCTGAGATATGAGGATTGTGGTTCAAAGCCAGCCCAGGCAGAAAAGCCCATGAGACTCTTGTCTCCAATTAATGACCAAAAAGCCAGAAGTGGAGCTGTGACTCAAGTGTTAGAGCACTAGTCTTGAGCAAGAAAGCTAAGGGACAGTGCCCAGGTCCTGATTTCAAGCCCCAGCACAAAAAAAAAAGAGGGAAGAAGCCGGGCGCTGGTGGCTCACGCCTGTAATCCTAGCTACTCAGGAGGCTGAGATCTGAGGATTGTGGTTCAAAGCCAGCCCGGGCAGGAGAGACCGTGAGACTCCTATCTCCAATAAACCACCAGAAAACCGGAAGTGGCGCTGTAGCTCAAGTGGTAGAGCGCTCGCCTTGAGCTGAAGAGCTGAGGGACAGCGCCCAGGCCCAGAGTTCAAGCCCCACGACCGACCAAAAAAAAAAAAAAAAAAGAGGGAAGAGGAATAAAGATAGACAGACACTATGATTATTGAGAAAAAGTGCTAAGAAGAGCAGGACTTCCTTGTACTTGAGAGAATTCAGAGAGAAAGCGCCCTAGGGAGCTGAGTTGCCAGGTGTATTCTGACATCCAGCTCAGGAGCTCCTCTCCTCCATCCACACTCCTCTCCTCCATCCATACCTGACCATTCCCAGATTTTCTCCAGTTTTAGAACAATGTTTTGAAGGGTTGTGCACCACTGTGGATCTTCAGAAAGGACTAAAGTAAGTCAACCCAAAAGATGAGGCCCTGGTCCAACCAGGCTTCCCAGAAAAATATCTGCCAGCCATGAAAATGACAATATCACTTAGTAAGCAATTTGTAGACCTGCTTCATAGCCCTGGGCATGGAGCAGCAAAGAAAAGGTCACCAAAAGAGGCAGCTGTGCATGTGTATTAACCACTCATCAAAATCAAAGGACAAAACCATAAGCAAGGAAAACAGAAATTAAAAATATAAAAGGCAAATGCCTTCAAAATTTTATTTTTAAAGTCCAGCTGTTATTTGGCTTGAATGTGACAAGACAGCATTTCTTGTTCACCATGATATTTATAAAGCTACAAATTCAATGGTGCTGAAGACTCAGGAAACATGGTTAAGGTTTCGCTACATTTCAAAGTAGCTGAAGGTTTAACATGTATCTAGTATACAGAATTTGTTTTATTCCATAAAGGACAAATAAGGATGAGGGACTTGATTAGTAGGGTGTGTCACCTTGTGTTAACAACAAAGAGCTTTTAAGGACTTTCTGGCATTTCTCTTCTCCCTGCTCCACTTAGGCAAGAGTACAAGTTTAAGGCCAACCTCCCAATTTTAAGGTGGCATAGTATAGTAGGAAGGGCTCTGCCCTGTTTATTAGGAGGTTGGCATAAAGTCCCTTTGATAAGTGACTGAAAACAAGTAATTACTACCTCTAAACTTAAATTTCCTTATCTTTTAAAAGAGGTATGTTGAGCCTCCAGGCTCACACTTGGAATCCCAGCTACTCAGGAGGCTGAGACCTGAGGATCAAGGTTCAAAGGCCAGGCCAGGCAAGAAAATCTGTGAGATTCTTATCTCCAATTAACCACCAGAAAACTGGAAATGGTGTTGTGGCTCAAAGTGCTAGTCTTGAGCAGAAAAAGCTCAAGGAGAGCACCTAGGCCCTGAGCTCAATCCCCAGGACCACCACCAACAACAAAAGAGGCATGTTGGATTGAATTATCACAAAGGTCCCTTCCAAATCTGCAGTTGATATTAGGGGCTTCATAAAACACTCAAGTGTATTTGGTCTATCCACAATAAGTTACATTTAGTGTGTTTTTTTTTTCATAGAAATACCTTAGAGAATATATTTGTGTCACTTGCTGAAATGAATTTTCATGTTCTTTGAGCT